TATTCCTTTCAAACCTGTTAGTACAGGATTAAAAAAATTCAAATTCATTTTTAATAAATATAATTGGAGTGTCTCTTTGTAACATTGAAATAACTGTTTTTTACTGCATGCATATGAATATAAATACGTACATACACCAAAATGTCATTTTTTACCATTTTTGTCTGTCTGTCTGTTTGTTCCGGCTAATCTCTGAAATGACTGGACAAATTTTGACGGGACTTGTTTGGCTGACGATTGAGCTGACGTAATAAGGAGTAACTTAGGATACTTTTATTTTAGATAAATGAAGTTAAATTCCACAGCTAGTCTGTAATATGAAAGGATATTAAGCAAGGTAACAGAGGTCTTATTATTACAAATTATTATTTACACTGATTTGTACATAATAACATGTATTATGGGTTGATTTGTGAACACTACTCGGGCGCTGATCTAATCGAGTGGATTTTATGTTGGCTGTAGATATTTTATATAGGCAGATATCTGATTTACTTCCGTTCGTATATAGGAAATGTCATGGTCTATAAGAAACAATATTTATGTATGTACCTGGTATAGCAAACAATTTCATGGCTAACCTGACAGTAATTAATGATATAACTGGCAACACCGCTGTCATTATCAAATTGAAGCTCATGATCAGCATCAATTGCAGTAGTTCCATATATATAGGAGTACGCGTCATATTCCTTTCGAGCTCTAATTAAGCCTGTTCAATATTCCCTAGTCTATTATAACGTATGTACGAGGTAGGTAGATAGCCAACCACTAACAGCCTAAGTAAAGTCATATTTTAAATTCTGACTAATTAAATATTAGTGAAAACATAAATATGGAGGATTGTCAAAAAAACTACATTTTGCATTTGTACTCGTAACAAATGCAAAAGGTAGTTTTACTAATATTTAATTTTGTATAAATTAATATTTTAGTTCTTAATATGATAAGTGAATTATTTGTAATTGTTAATGAGATTAAATATCTAAATCCTAAAAAACACAAGTGGAATGACAATAAGTGACAGTCCACCTGGATGGATAGATGGAACGTGGTACGTGGTAGCACCCCTATATAATATACTTTAAAGATTATTATATTACAAAACGTCACTTGTTGACGTTGTTGAAAACTTTCACTTAGATGTTGTCATCGCGCAATTTTTCCAGTATAATTTGGTTGCTGAAGTACCATCAATAGCTCTACATGATATATTTAATACATCATTTTCTTTTATCTTAATGTTGTATTCCCACGTTATAGCTCTCGCTTCGCATATTGGTCGGGCTTAATTTGTTTATTACCTCATTAGCAGATGCAGAAATGAGTACCTCGAAAAAATCTGTAAAGTGTATGTTTACAACTTCTCCATAACATAAACTTTAATATTAATATACTTGAATGATCTTAATAATTTAAATAGGGCCTACTAATATCTATTCCCTGAAATAGATTTATGAACGCAACATAAAATCAAGTCATAAATATAAAGAATGATCAACATGATATGTATATTATCCAAGATTCTATCATAAATCACAACAAAAGGGTGATTTGAGGACATGGGGTAGGTAGGGTAAATAAATTACTAAAAAAAAAACAATGGTCGCCCGCCTCTCCTACTGGTATTCTGGACCCAATGGAAAATGATAGTGTGTGTTTAAATTTAAAGTCAGCTACGTGATTGCGCTTATCGTGACGTATTTATTAGTTTATTAATTAGGGAGGGTCCCACGGAGATGACACCTGATATATATCATACATTAGAGCGGGCAGGAGTAGTACCTACCAACGAGTATGTAAAGTAGGTACTACTCCTCAAAGCCAACAATCCTCTCCGCATTAGAAATTGTTTGAGGTATATACCCCCATCCCTCTCACATGAGAGAGATGATTATTGAGAGAGGTTTGAGGGTAATGAATATTCCTGGGTTTAACGGACTACAAGGGGTAGGTTTAGATTAATGTAGTAGGGTGGTTGTTAAAAATACATTTTACTTGGGGGATTTGAATTTTGGGTAATATATTAAGGTACGGTAATGAATATTTTTATTTCTTTTTATAAAAACTAAGTTTAATATATCAAAACCAACTACAGAGGATTCCCGCCTGAAAAATATGAAATCTTATAATATTATAAACGCGAAAGTTTGTGAGTATGGATGGATGTTTGTTACTTTTTCACTCAAAAACAACTGAAAGGATTTTGATGACACTTTACAGTTTAGTTTATGCATCAGAATAACACATTCGTATTGAAAATTAACGCGGGTGAAATCGCGGGCACAACTAATAAGAAATATTTTGGTCTGTAATTGTGCGCACAAACTACTTAATTTATTAAATTAATAATATAAAAAAACGTTTTAATGTACTTAATAAATATCCGTAGTGATGTTCAGAGGTTCTTCACAAAAGTGAAGACAATCGACATTACTAAAATTTAGTCAATACTTATGAAATAATAAAGTTACTGTTTACCTTTTAAAAAAAATTGAATCGAGACGTTGGCAATTGACTTTCCATTAATTTTGTACACGCACGTCAAACTCGATCCATTCATGTGACGCTTTAGTGGAGAATATTTTACTATGTTTTTCTGTATTTTCTTACGGTCTTCTTTAGTTTCTAAAACATAGAGTAATATACTTACTTTCTAAAACATAGAATATGGATGAATCTTTGATTTGTGCTCAGAACTAAATTATAGTCGCATAGATACTTCCATATCGCTTTATACAAGTCGTTAGAACAGACCGCAACAATACAATCATTTGTGTACATGTATATTGGGATTTGTATTGGTCTGGATATCTGATAGTTTCTATGTATATTATGATGGTATGTATTTACGAAAAGATATACATAATATCTTCAGTATATACTATATTATATGTATAGTATATACTGAAGAAAAATATTTAAATAAGTATATATATTGTACTGAGTTTGTGTGCGATAATCTGGACATTAAACGGAGGCACAGGGCGATGCGATGCGGCGATCGATTCGGGGAATATGTTAGTGTCTAAGGTAGCTTCTACCTTTTACTAGTACACAGGTCGCCATTTACAAAAAATATGTCTTCACTACTGAAGCTACCTAAATGGTGATGTACAGTGCACTTGTTCAGAGTAGTTGTCTGCCACGCACACTCAGATTGCGGAATTAACTTTCTGTACAGCGCTTTCATCTAGAGACTACAGCCTGAGTTTTCAAATGGGATGTAGCAAGGTCTCTTTAGGGTCTTAAACGTGCATGTGACTTCCTTAGTATTGGAAGTTTCCATAGGCTATGGTAACCGTTTACCATCAGATGTGCCACATTCCTGCTTACCACCATTGCTGTTTAAAGTTATGGTTATTTATTAGATAACTATCATAAGATTAAATCTACACATATAAATAAAATTGGACTGTTTGTAATATTGAAATAACCGTTTTTGATACATGCATATGAATATGAATACGGAACATACACCAAAAAAACCACTTTTTAAAATTTTTGTCTGTCTGTCTATTTGTTCCGACTAATCTTTGAAATTGCTGGACCGATTTTAACGGGACTTTTTTTAGCGGGTAGTTAATGTAATAAGGAGTAACTTAGGCTACTTTTATTTTAGAAAAATACTTTTATTATAGAAAAATAAAGTTAATTTCCACGCGGACGAAGTCGCGGGAACAGCTAGTATACTATATAATTGATGGTAGGTACTGTAGATAACTAGTAGTCAATTAATGATAATAATTAAAAAAAACATGTACGTATGTGTGTGTGTGTGTAATAATGAATTCATTAAAACTACTTTTAATTTAATTTAATGTATTTTAAATACTCGTATAAAAAAGTTTTGCTTTCTGCCCTATACACTTACTCCTTATTTATTTTTTAATTGTACCTAATGTCTTACTTATTTATCATAATTTTCATAAAAAGAGGTAATGATCTTTTGCTTCACGTAACCTATTCGTATCAATATTATGATGATTAAAATATATATTCTTCAAGTACATAGCTTTAAATCCACCATGTCCAATTACAACTAATTTAGAATGATAGTTAAACTATGACATTAGTTTAACTAACCGTCTAATAATGCAGAAGGATATTAGAACTAACGTTCTAATTATGTCTGCTTTAGATGGAATCCACCAGTATCTACTGCGTCATACATAGAATGACGTGATTAATCCGTCGAAACGCAGCTAGCTATGTCATGTGTGGGGTGCGCCTGGGTGTTTAGGTGCAATACACTTTATTTAATTATCAGAAGGATGGTCAACAGTGTGGATTAATAAAACGTCATGAATTATATGGTTCAAGACGGGCGCGTAAGCAGATGTAGAGTACAAGCAGCTTATTGATGAGAGACGTGGGCATCGAGTAACATCAGTGTCCGACTAGCTCGCTTGTCGGTGCGGTCGCATTACATATTTACATTAGAAATGCGTTGCACTTTGAACTGCCTCGGTCGGCGCGAATCCAGCGGAATGAGATGCGCTAGAAATCTATACGATAAAATACTATATATTACTTACCATTAAAAGTATTATATGTATGAATTTTTATTAGTGTAATATATATATATGTATGTTTGTTTAATGTTATATTATTTATATTATATTTTATATTTATATAAATAGATGTAAATATAACTGTAGAATTTATACATATAGATAGTATTACTATATTACTATGTATTAATATGAGTATAAGTAGGCCACATCATACATAAATAAAATATTTAATATTACGTCTTATATAACAAGATAAAAGAAGTAGTAAACTTACTATAATAGAACACGTTTTTTTAAATTTTTACTTCTCAGGAATTTATTTGCTTTTCTATAATTACCATTGTTTACTATTCGTATGCTTTATTTTATTAACATGACATTTTCAAATTAAGTTGTGTGGTATTCGGTAATTAGGTATTCAAATAATTTACGTACCTATTATTTCAATACCTAATTCCTTATTTATATCATTCTATAATGTACCTAACTCATAGCGGCTCCTGTTAAATTCAGGATTATTTAAAAAATATATAATTATATTTTTGAATTTAATTAACTTTTTAAGGCATAATCGAATTTCAATTGATCGATCTCGGATAAAAAAAATAATATTACATGAAATACGATCTATCAGGTTTCTTAATTCTATATAATTATACAAAACATACATTTACCTATCTCAATCGGTCTCATCCATTCGAGAGTACTAGTTTTTTTGTTATATTGTACTGCTTCACAATCTACACGCGGACTTTCCCCAGGTATGTAATGATATATGTACGTCCCTGTCAGATTACTGATCGACATATTTTGTGATCCAATGGTAATGTTATTTATACTCAGCCTCAGTATATCTGAGAAAGAGAAATTGTTTAATAAAATAAAAGTGCATTCCAAACATGACGCAGAACAACAATGCACACTCGTACATACTGTGCCGCGAAGACACATTAATGTTACTCAAATGTTCTTCACAATGGTGATTATATTTTGTATAACAAATAGAAAAAAAACAATTAACAATATTAATAATATTCTGCTCAATATTACAAAGAGGAGGAGGAAATCAAAACAGTTTATAATATTTTAGTCATTATCTATTATTAAACGTCTCAAAATAGTACGTACTGTTTCGCTTCAACACGCTTTTAAGGACACATTTATACATGTGGACGTCATTTTATAAACAAAAAACACATTTTATAACGAAAACAATCTCACCATCTAGTTTCTTCTGGTTAAAATGAACAGTAACAGATATATTAACGTCCGTCTCTTTGTAGTAACAAATAATTTTTGATCCATTTTGTATGTTCTCTAATGTAAATTGACATCTATTTTGTTTTCTTTCACTGTTAAGTTCTGTACATGTAGTACCTGAAACGATACAAATGTTTATATTACACTCGTAGCACAGTCGTAGGATTGAAAATATCATAAAGGAGTTCACCATCATATCATGACCCACCAAATCAATGAACAGCGATCTCTGAATGAAACAAACACGCACTGATTCATGTATTTCATCGAAATAATAAATAATCCATGAAATACGTGAAATACGAGTACTGTATATCTGGCGAAGTCTCTGTTTCAAATCACAAAACAAATCAGATAAAAATTATTTATTTGCAAAATACACGATTTGATTTGATTTAATTGTGCATATTGTTTTTAACAATCTTAAATATTAAGCCGTGCAATTGTTTATACATTATTATATGCATATCGCTCTAATAGTGTATCAATAATTAAATTAACTTAATATAATATATGTATAATAAAGCTGAAAATTTTTAATAAATTGAAAATTAATATACAGCATCACTAGCGGACCCTGCAAATGTTGTTTTACCATATAAATTAAATGCGCTATTAAAAATAGGGGTTGGTTATAGAAGGGTGAAAATTTTGAGTTGTGTGTATTTAGAGAACAAAGAAAAATAAATTTCATCAAAATCGGTCAAGCTGTTTCCGAGGAGTAGGTATAAACACGAAGCCTGTGATACGAGAATTTTATATATTAGTTTATAACTCTTGAAATGACATGAAAAGGATGAATGTTAAATAATATGATTAATAATAGATTCTCAGGTAATCGAAATTGCGATGTATAAAATAAACAATAACGAAGTAGTGTGTTGTGTCTAACATGCTCGCGAAATAACGAAAAGATACAACAATAAAGAAGAACTCTAATTTCTAGGGAACCTCATTAAGCCCATGGGTTCGATCATAGAGTACGTTGCTAGCAATGTGACCAATAATCTCCATTGCTAATGGTCTTCCCTCCAGACGAAGTACAAATATTCAGAAATATAGTAAGGCGAGATCTACCTACTATAATGATTGTGGAAATAAATCACGAGTATGTACTAATGAATAATGACTCATTTTAATAATAATAATAATATAATTTATTGCGTCAAATCTAACTTACTTGTACTGCAGTATGTGCATGTGCTGTTGATCAAATTATTACTTTTATATTCGCATTCTATTTGCAAATCTTCACTGGGTGTATAATTGTATACAGAAGTTACATCTATAATATATGGATTCTGATTCTCCAGTACTGTCAAATTTTGCTTGGTACTATTGACGCTTACAGTAGGAAATGCTAGAATAATATATTATTATAACAACATGTAGTTTTAACATGGTTTGATAATTAGAAGCTTTCTATACTTTCTTTGTATCTATAGTAATTATTAAAGTCAGAAATTATAATACTTTGTAAGTTGGCACCACACTATCTTTCAATTGTTCAATTGCTCATGCAATTTCCCCAAGTATACGAGTAGAGAGATAGTTCATGAATGTTTGACGACGTTGGATCATGTTGACGCGCGCGTGCTCCTATAGCCTTAAATTGTACTCAGATGAAAAGTGTTGGCCAACTCGTACGAACAGACAGACACCTATAAATGCACATCAGTGCATCAGAGTACCTATTATCACTTGAACATCCTCCATCCGTATTGATCGGTCATAAGGTAGGATTGTATCCATGTTGAAGCGTTTGTCTGTTGGATGACTTTCATCATCATAACTTCTAGATTACATTTGTTTTAAAATGTACCCGAAATGGCAATTGTTTTCAACGCATATCAAAAGAAGCTTCTCATTAAAACCGCATATAGTTAGACTATCTGCCCCTGACTATGGATCCGCACCACTGACATCAATCTTCTCGTATTTCGGAGTCGAATATTCGAGGAACGCAGTACATAAAGTTTTAGACTATGGAATTGTCGGAGGTACAGTAGTTAGACAATGTGCAGGGATCAGTTTCTGAACTGCGTTTAAATTCGAAGTAATAACCCTGTGTAGCTAGTACAAGGCCAGGCCTATTTTGATACGCCGCGCCGATACGAACACATTATGCTAAAACGAACTATCGTTTTAGCATTATGTGTTCGTATCGGCGCTTGGCGCCGGCACTATACTAATAGTGCCGGCTAATTATTATCGACACAATTCTTCATAAAAACGTCAAACGTCTTACGTACTTCAGATATTACGTTACACTGTCATGTCCTTTTCATTTAAACAACGAGTATGTTCTGAATTTTACTGAACTTTAATTTAAAACGCAAGTTCATACGAGGTTCGTGTATGTACTTACAAGAAATTTCAATCGTAAATAAATATATGACTAACATGCAATCTAATAAATGTATTCCTTGCCAGAATAATCATAAAAATCTTTTCAGTTTGGCAAAGATGTTGCGTAATATAATCAAATTATTAATATATTAAGGTACATGACCTTAAGAACTCACTTACCCAGAGCTTCTAAATGCACACCACGCACATTATGAGCATACCAACTGCCATTATATAATTGTGTCTTGTTATAATTATTCGCCACATCTTTATTAGTTAATAACTGTAGAAACCATATGTTGTTTTTGTTTTTATTTTTAGGTGGCTGTAAATAGTAGATATTATATATATTTATAAATATATAAAATTGAAGTGTCTGTAATTTCAAATTAACAGCTTTTCTCTAAATGCATAAATAAAGTATAGACAGTACTTGCATCAAAAAGTTGATTAAAAGTTATTATGTCTGTCTGTTCTTGCTAATCTCTGAAACAGGTGGATCTTTTACTAAGTAGTAACTTAGGCTACTTTAATATTAAAAGTTTTATTTAATTCAAATTTTATTAGGAATGTATCTCTCATTGGCTCATGTCTACATAATTATGTTGAGACTAACTAACGTCATGTTATTTGGAGTTTGATTTCTATTGGAATGACGATATGTTGTGACTGCCGGTTAGTTGACTTCAGCGGTACGTTAGCGACCTGTCCGGTACCAGAATAAGAATATAATAAGCTTTTCTAAGACATTCAATAAAATATGATAACTGTAATGGTAACACTGGACAGACTGGTCCCAGATTGACGGTGAGCCAGTGAACCAATCACTGAACACCACACTTGTATCGAGATTTGACCACCACGCCGCCGCGCCGCGTCGCCGCGCCGGTCCGTTCTGTCTAGTTCTGCCTCCTGTATGCGTGATGGTCGAGTCTATGGGCAGATGTAACTTCGTACTCCATTAATATACGCAATCATATACTTTGTTTATGAAATATCATATGCATACTTACCAATTTAAACGATACGTTGTAATTACAGTTATGTTCTGTATATGAGTTATAGTTAATTTCTTGAGTGAATCTGAAAGAATGTCATATACTATATGTACATTTTTATACCACAAATTACAATCGATTACGTTCGTAGTCTGATGGTAAAACAAAATATTCTGAGAACCTGTGAGCCGAAAGGGAAGACCATCAAAAATCTAATTTAATTATCTCTGTATTGTGACAAAAGGCTGTAAAACCGATTGCAATAGATGAATCTTGAAAGTGAACTATTCTTTAACCAACTCGTGAAGGAAGGCGGACACTTGCTGAGTAGACTGCAAGACATTTCTGTTTGGAACCACTTCGCTTGTGTGGCTACTGTGTATTCTTTGTTATCTATCTACGCCAACACGCAGCGATATATAAAAACTTTCGTATAACAAATTTTTACATTCGTAAAAATTGAAATGGTGGTGGAGAGCAACGTGTACAACAAGCAAATCGTCAGAGAATAATAATAAAAAACTTTACAAACAAGTATCTTTAGTACATACAAACAAGTAGTTTTAGAAAACAGTGTAGTTAGATTCTCGCAATCTAACTACACTGTTTTCTGTATCTATTATATCTTGCATAATAATATTTATTTTTCCAATAAATATCTCGTGGTGTTACTCAGTATTATGCAGTATATGCTCTATTGTATACAAACAACTTGCTAAATAGCGCGCTCTACATTTTGTACTGTGTCATCTAGCGTGCCTTAAACAAATTAAATCTCATCGATGAGATCGCCTTTTGTGTCAGTTATTCTAAATTTATTATTTTCTGTATGTGGTGGACGCGGAAGAAAAAGTATTATTAAATATAACATCATTGATTTTTTTAACTGAAATATTTTGTTTTGAATAGCTGAGCTTAAGTATAATTTTGACAATAATTTCCTCTCGGCTAAAAACTTCTAAAACGTTGAAGAAAGTTGTATTATGAAGCTTAGTGAAAGCGGCGTTTTAAAAGCAAGACTAACTAAATAACGTCTTTTAATTTTTCTACAAATGGGCTTTAAAGTTGTAATGCATAAAGACTATTTTTATCCATAACGTACTTTCTAAAACATGTTAGAAGTTTTGGTCCAGGAGGAAATGGTTCAACTTGATCTGTTCCCGACTTGCTGTCATTGCATTAAGTATAAGGTGCGGTCCACAGGTGCGACATTCGATCTACCTATACCGACCTACTAATAGGGATAGAATGGTTGCACCATTCTATCCCTATTATTATCTATATTTACAGAGTTCGACGCTATAAGAAGTCGTCTGTGTGGTACATTTTTCTACCTATTTCTGTCGCCAAGCAGCTAGCTTTATAATTTGTGTTTCGGTTGAAAGGTATAGTTACAGATAGGCATCGCACCTTCTGGAATGACAACGCTTGAGTGGTATCACAGGTGTCATATGATAGAGTGGAGTCTGAAATGCTGTTATATATGAACAGCATTGTAAGCGACCACTTACTGTTAGGACAACTTATTCGCCTTTCCAATTCCATAAAAACCATGTCTTTACGATGGCACTATGATGGAAATATTTTAATTATAACCAAAATAATCGAATGAAAGAAAAGTTACTCACGATGCATGGTTAATATACTTTGAGTATAAAAATACTATGTTAGCATGTTCTCCTTCCAAATAGTAACATTCTATATTCGATGGATAATAACTAACATTAAAATATATATTACGTTCTGTAAAGAAATAAAATAAGTAGTTAATAACGATAAAAACCCCTTTTAAGTACTATATGTGCTCTCGGGCTATCTCAAAATAGCATGCGTAAGTCAATTTAATAAGTAGGCAGTCATTTAATAGTACTTGCAAATCTATATGGGTATACGCTACTGCTCTCATTAGCGCGTATTACTTAAATTATCTAAAGATCTTTTTAAAACTTTCAATAAACATTTGCACATATCATACTGAAGTAATTACTAATTACCATAATTGTTTGTTTGTCGTCCGTTCATCTGTCTGTCTGTCTCGCTTTCACGTTGAAACTACCGAACCCATTTAAATAAAATTTGTAAACACAGATGGTCTAGACCCTGAAAAAAGACATTGGCTACTTTTCTAGACTCTAGACTAATTGTGTTCCAAATTTAATTTAAATCGGTTCAGTAGTTTTGGCGTGTAAGCAAGACAGACAGACAAATGGACACAGTTCCTTTCACAGTCACAATATTAGCGGGGAATTTATTAAACTAACCCAAAAACCCAAATAAAAAAGTTTCATCGTTCTAGATTAAAAAATAACGAATTTATGTAAAAGCTTTCATCCCTATTTTATTTTACGGGTTTTAAGGGTATTTGTTTTTACAAACCCTGACAAAGGACATAGGCTGTAAATGGGTTGAAAGGGTAGATGTAAGCTGTGTATTAAATATAAATAAATATGACCTATAAAATTTGTAGAAAGTTTACCCTTAAGGGTCTAAAATAAAATAGGGGATGAAAGTTTTAACGTAAATTCGTCATATTTGAAGCTAGAGCCTTGATACACATTTTTAAGACTGTTGATTAAATATGACATTCAAAGTTTGTAAACAATTTGTAATTGGGTAAAATAAAATAGGGGATGAAAGTTTTTATGTTAATTCATCATTTTTTAAGATAGAAGCTGGAAACTTATTTTTGAGGCTGTTGATTAAATATAAATAAATATGACATACATAGTTTGTAAAAATAAATACCATTAAGGATGTAAAATAAAATAGGGATGAAAGTTTTTATTTTTATATAAATTCGTAATTTTTGAAGCTAGAATGATGAAACTATTTTGGGTTTTTTGGGGTTAGTTAATTAAATACCCCACTAATATGACTATGACTGTGAAAGTAACACTGTCTATCTGTCTGTCTGTCTCGCTTACACGCCAAAACTACTGAACCGATATACAGGAATAGATGATATAAATGAAACAACACAATTAGTCTAAAGTCTAGAAAAGTAGTGAATCCGGAAAAAGGGCTGTAAATGAGTTGAAAGGGTAAGTGCAAAGTTATATGGATGTATCACCATTTTCAAAGCTGAAGCCTGAAACTTATTTTTTTGACTATTAATTAAATATAAATAAAGAAAAATTTAAATGTTTATATGAAAATATTGTAATTTTTAAAGCTAGAAGCTTGAAATTTATTTTTTAGTCTATTGATTAAATATATATATAAAGGAAAAGGGTTCTAAGGGGTTGAATGAGAGATGAAATATTAAAGAAGTGAATAGCAACATTCGTAGTAAAATTTGCATTTAAATATTCAATGAAATGTATTGACGAATTCTACATTTAATTGAAATATATTTTATTAACTCCCAGTTTCTCTCAGTGGACATAATTTAAAGTATGTAATGTAGACCCAGATAAATACAATGTCCCGTAAAATAAACATAAACAGCTAATTTTCTGTATGTATGTATATGAAAACCTAGCTGTATTACAATCAATACATAATACAAAATCTAAAAAGTATGAAACCGCGTGATCTTTCATTTATGTTTTATTCTCTGAACTTTTTTTTATTAATCTTATATCTCCAAATAAAAAAGGATAACCGGCTTCCAATTTTTTTTTTATAGTAGTATGGTGGCAATCAAACATACGGCCAATCTGATGGTTAATGGTAGCCTATGGACGCCTGAAACACCAGGGGTATCACGTGTGCATTGCCGACCCTTAAGAAACCTTAATACACCCTTCTTGAAAAACCCCATGCTGTAGCCTTGAGAGAAAACTTCAGCAGGAAGTTCATTCTACAATCTAAGTGTACGCGGGAGGATGCTCGTCTGAGACCGCACTGTCCGAGACCACTTAGCTTCCAGCGTGTGGGGATGAATTCCCTGTCGGTGGCGAGCGATGCAATGATAAAAAGTAGTCGTAGGCATATCGAACAATTCCTCAAAACACAGCGAAGCGAAGTCTCGCCTTAAGCTAAGTGGTTCGATACCGCCAGAGAGATTGGGGTCATCGAAAATTCTCATAGCACATCTCATTATTGAATCTAATGTATATTTACTAGCGGCCGCTCGAGTCTTTCTCCTTTAGGCACAAAACAGAGATGTTCTCTAAGATCTTTTATGTCAAAATAATTCTTTTTATGTCAAAACTGTTTATATAACTTGTTTTATTGTGAATACATTGTTATTACTCTACGCAAATATTTAATATTTATATAATTCTTCTGGCTACAACGCCTTCCACACAAAAGAAGATTATTGGCTCTCCCGTAATATTTTTTCTGAACTATTTAAGAAAAACAATCCCACAGTACATAAACTTAGTGTAACTCTAATAGTCAGGTCAAGATAGATCGCAAATTAAAGAATTTCACTTGTGTTTATATTCCGTGTAATTTACTCATTATTTTTTAAAACTATGTTTTAAATCCGTTGTCTTATTACAATAGCTTTTATGACTGTAGCGAGATTCGTCAGCAGCTATTCAAGGAAGAAATAAATAAGTTTAAGAATATGTCCAATTTGAAAAGCTCAGAATACAATAGTAAAAAATTATATAAGAAAACAATTTCAAAATAATATTCATAAAAGGAATGTTAGTATTACTATAACGTTTTATAAAATAGATGCTGTAGTATTTGCAAGAAAAAGGAACAATCGTTCATCCACACATTCATCATAACAAACTTTCGCGGCGAGCCGTTTATTCTGATGTTATTAGTAGGATTAGTTGGATACACCGCGATTGGAGGCGTTTATAATTAAGCAGTATGTACTCGTACATATAGTAAACAATATTAAATACGAACCTGCATATATACAGAGGTAGATATTAAACAAAATGAATAACTTAAACTCCAGGGCTGACATATTGGCTGTGATCACCATTGACTCAACTGTAGGCGAATCGAGATTATTCTATGGACAATACGACGCCGATAATGTGTATGGTGGCCATGTTCTCTGCTCATTTACTGTTAAGTACAACATGACTCATTACTATTGTTTGCTGGAACCATGTTAATGTGGCCATCATTTAAAGTTTCAATATTGGGATGACCAGAGTAGGTATATGAAATCCACGAATATTTCGTCTACTGTGTTAGTTGCTGGAGTGGAGCCATAAGTGGTTTTTAATTTTTAACTTCTTTTGATTGTTATTTTTTGGCCTCGGTACTCTAGCGGTTTAGCACACCGGCACCGCTTTACTTCCGATAATTGCAGCTCTCGACACAACGCAGCACATGACAGTTACCACGGACGTCACAATAGTTCAGACAAGGTTTATGATTCTTTTGGAGGTGTCGTCATAGAAAATGCTGTACAAACAGGAATTATGACTATGTGAATAAGAGTTCGGACTTTTTAAAACTTATCTCTATTAATATTATAAAGAAGTAAAGTTTGTATATTTTTTTTTGGGGTAATCCGGTTCTGCTTATTCGATTTTAAAATCCTTTCACTGTTAGTAAACTATATTATCCCCGAGTGCTATAGGCTATACAATATCACGGTACGACCAATAGGAGCGGAGCAGCGATGAAAAATAAGGCAATAAATTCATTTTGAGCGCTTCCTAATCCATATCCAAATAAATACATCAGTGTCGAACAGTTTAAAAGTTAAACAATAGGGCCCATGAGAAGCCAGGGCAGGTTGATAGTTGTCAATATATACCTGACAGAAAAGCGATGTTTCTAGTACTTCAATATGAATATCCTACAAATATATGTAGTGTGGTATTCTTATTTTATTGACTAATAATAAAATTAAGGACAAAATAATATTTCGTTGTTTTCCTTTTATATCATAATAACAACTCATAATTTTTCAATATTGTATTAATTGGCGTTTGTTTGTATTATCTATATTTCTATATTTATAGCAGAATATTGTGCCTACAATGTGCCTTTGCAATGTGCCTGCGCCTTGCAATATTTCTGTCAACAATCGAGACCCTTCCATTAGTACCTCTCCAGATAAAGTTCAGTGTAAAGCAGTCTACGTCTCGACTCCGCGTCGAATGTACGCATTACGAATAAGCCACGTAGCACACTATATAGTAAACTATATATACATATATAGTGCAATAAATAGGACTAATATTTCACCGGTATACTCACTGCCTAGACACTACACGTCATCACGTCATACACAATGGTACAGTGATGAGGTGATATCATCACGCTACAACATATCTAGCAATGATGTGATCATTTAACCGCCATGTTAATATTTAGTTGTATTTGGATGATAAAAACACATATGAGATAACTGAAGCGGAATAATAATATAAAATTATTATAATAATACAGCTTCATGGCAATTATCTTATAGTGGTTATATTAGGCACATTGATTTAAGCAGAAAAAGTATAATCCATCACATTTAAAATAAGTATTGTTGCTAAGTAACAGTTTGTATGTAACGTGCAACTGCGATCGGAACGAAAGTAAATTATATTTACTACTATATATGTAATCCACTCAATATCTCTATCAGGCCCATGTTGCCGATGGCAACCTTTTTGACAGTTTTTATGTTTTTTATATATATTTGAATTTTATATTTTTACGTTCTGTTTTCATATACAGTTTGTTTTCTTATGCCATATTGTCTTTATATTTTTGCTAGCGAGAGGACCACAATGTTACGGAAGGAAGGACTGTATTAAGACTGGTTAAAAATGAGACACGTTCCTAGGTGAGGTAAAATATGTGTAATCAGCTCGCTAGCAAAAATATAAAGATAATATGGCATAAGAAAACAAACGGTAGTTCTATGGTTTTTGGGGCAGTTTCTAGTCCTTTTGCGGCTATTTATATTAAGAACAAAAATGCAACAGAGTATCAAAACCAATTTCCAGACGCGGCGGAAGCTATTATTCATAATACTTATATGGACGATTATATAGGCAGTCATCCTAACATAGAGAAAGCGGCTCAAGTAGCGAGGGACGTAATCGAAGTACATAGTCGAGCACTTTTTGAAATTCGTGGGTGGGTTTCGAACGAACCTTCTGCTTTAGCACTCGTCTCTCCACACTTACGTCTTGTACAGTCGACATCTGTCGATTCAGTTGATTTAGGTCACTTTACCCAAAGCGTATGGACATTGGGTTTGATATGGCATCCAGATAAAGACACTCTCGGTTTCAGTAACAATTTTGTTCAAGAATTGCCAAAAAAACTTACTAAACGGGTTGTTCTATCGGATTTGATGCGTATATTCGATCCCTTGGGTATACTGTCACCTCTTACTATTAGAGGACGTATAATACTTCAAAATATCTGGCGTCTAAGTATCAGCCGGGATGACGAATTGCCGGAAGATCTATTAAAAAAATGGCGTTTATGGCATAGCGACATGTTGTCTGTTCTGACTTTAAAAATCTCACGCTGGTATCTTCTATCAAATCATGTAGAACATCGTGAGTTGCATATTTTCTGTAACGCCAGTAAGGATGCGTGCGCAGCAGTAGCATATAGGCGTATTACGTATTCTGATGGAAATGTGCAGCTCATGTTAGTTTCCAGTAAAGCTAGAATAAATCCCATAAATAAAGTTCATACGATTCCACGTTTAAAACTTCAAAGTGCACTGATTGCAGCTCGTCTTGCGCGTACGATATGTTCGGCACATGCGTTTAAACCTAATATTAGGGTTTTCTGGACGGATGCTCGTAATGTACTTGGTTGGATTCGTAATGACGCTCGAAAATATCAAACCTTTGTTTCTGTACGTTTGGGGGAAAGCCATGAACTTTCAGATGTATGCGAATGGCGCTGGGTACCTACAAGATTAAACGTAGCAGATGACGCGACTCGCTCCATACCCAGCGACCTTACTAAAAAAATTAGATGGATCAACGGTCCTGAGTTCTTGCGGTCTTCTCCAAATAACTGGCCTCTCGAACCATCCATCTCAACTCTCCCATGTATAGAGGAGTTGAAACTATCTTATAAATTATCACACTACATAAATGTCACCTACATCTTTTCACCTATCGCAGCCTCTCCTACACATTTTAGTAGTTACCTTAGATTACTTAGATCTACTGCCCGTTCACATCAGTTTATCACTCTTCTCATCAACAGGTACAATGTTACGAATAGAAGGGCACGACTGATGGGTAATCGCAGCCAACCTGCGAGATCGTCAGCTTCAAGCTGCGTGATACACTTGCCTCCTTTAACGACTGAAGAGATACAACGGGCGGAGAATCACATTCTACGTCAGAGTCAGGTATCTTTCTTTACCGAAGAGCTAGCAGCAATCCGCTGTGGCCTGCCAGTACCTCGAGGTAGTAGAATAGATAATATCGACATATTTCTTGGAGAAGAAGAACTTTTACGACTGCAAGGGAGAATAGATGTAGTAGAGAATGTCAGCAATGATACAAAAAGTCCGATCCTCCTTGATGGTAAAGACTATGCGGTAAGATTAATGAAATACCAGTAAAGTACTTCATTATCATCAGAAAGCTGCACATGCTACAGTATGCTGCATGATACTGTAGTTAATGAGTTGCTTCAGTCATACTGGATTTTGAAACTCAGATCAACGGTCAGAGCTTTTATTAATTCGTGTCAGATCTGCCGTATAAAGAAGGCAACACCAATTAGTACATCGTTTGGAAACTTACCAGAAATGAGACTTGCTCATCATAAGAGACCGTTTTCTTACGTGGGTTTAGACTACTTCGGCCCTCTCTTGGTATCCGTATGTCGACACGTTGAGAAGCGTTATTGTGCACTTTACACTTGCTTAACTACTCGTGCTATACACCTTGAAGTAGTACATAGTTTGTCGACTGATTCTGCAATTCTGAGCCTCCGTCGTTTTATTGCAAGGATAGGGACCGCACTAGAAATTATCTCTGATAATGGGACAGCCTTTGTGGGTGCTGCGAGGATATTGAGGGAGCTGTACGGTTCGAGTGTTTTAAATACCGCAGCCAATTCCAACATTCGTTGGCGTTTTATTCCACCAGCAGCACCGTTTATGGGAGGCGCTTGGGAACGCCTAGTTAGATGCGTGAAGTGCGCCCTGAAGTCATCACTATAAGATCGACGAGTTTCTGATGAGATGCTGATAACTCTTCTTATAGAGGCAGAAGCCTTAGTCAACTCACGTCCCTTGACACATATCTCTGATCAACCAGGCTCAGAAGAAGCATTAACGCCAATGCACTTTCTCTTGGGTACATCACCAGGAGCGCAACCTACACTGACAACACAATTTTCTGATAGAGACCTGGTGGGAAGACAGCAGTGGAGAAAGGTACAGAGACTTACCGATCATTTCTGGATGCGTTGGCTTAAAGAATACCTGCCGAATTTAATACCAAAATCAAGGACTGATAGAAATTCTAGTCCCCTACGCGTCGGAGATCTGGTCCTAATTTTAGAGAGTAACCTTCCTCGAGGTAGCTGGCTTAGAGGCAGAGTTTCGGCGGTTTATCCTGGCTACGATGGAGGTGTACGTGTCGTCGACGTTCAAACCGCTGGCGGAACACTACGTCGAGCTTCTAAGAGGCTGGTGCGGTTGCCCATCACGTCACGTAACGTCTGTCGTGAGACACCCAATCTGGCAATGGAACGCACTCTATGTAGTTTAAAAGGATCACCACCAGAATTGGGCCCTTTAATACATATGTCGATAAACTCTACTTCAGACAGTTTTGAGAGCCCCCCAATGCATTCCACCTTGAGGCTAGCCATCGGTCCAGATACCCCTATAGCGCGAGAAATCTTAGAATCAATAAAGGTAGAGGTCGATCCATCGTCCAAAAGAGCAAATGTGTCGACACTACCCTTAGGGCCGCTTACTGTAACCGCCACAACTTTTAACAATGGCCGTAAAGTCTTATGTTCATTGACGTATGAGCAACTGTCTCGTTAACGTTTTTATCGGTTGTCATAATCGGAGGACAAACTGCGGAATTCAGGGAAATCTGCGCTCGTGGTTGGTCCTCCTTATATCCTCTATAGTAACATGATTATTACTGACAGAGGACCCCGACACACCCGACAAAAAATGAAAAAGTTTGTAACAGATGCCTTAAGAAAGGTTTACATAGATATAAATATTGTACTAGAGGGGATTTGTGTAATATTTCTGGGTGTAAATATAAGCATCATAAACTTTTACATAAAATGCAGTTATGGCGACTGTTGAAAACTTAGCTGATATTGACAATGTTTTATAATTAATTATTAATAAGATTAATACGTTGCTGTCATATACTCCTACGAAGTCTTATTTTTGGAATCTGTCTTATGGATAAGGTATTTTATTATTAAAAGGGAACTAATTGATGGTATCTTGGTGATGACTATCGTCCCGACCTTTGACGGTAAGAAGATGAACAGTTTTGACTAGTGTTTGAGGATTTTTGGGAATTAATTGTGGGAATTCCTGATGGTGCAATACATGGTTGTGCTGGTTTATCCACGTCCCTTTGGGTATTAATTGTGAGTGTTCCTGATGGTGCAATATATGATTGTGCTGGTTTATCCACGTCCCTGTGATGATCCTTCAAGAGGTATGGATGTGATAGAATGTCCTATACAGGTTATACATTTCTCAGTAAGTTTTAATGTCAGCAAGGCCTGCAGTATACTGTAAACTCTACTAGATTAGATTTATACTTTTTTAGTGATCTTCACTAACAGTCATATATACATAAATAAAAATGTTGCAGTAATAAGAAAAAAGACTAGGTAAACGAAGAAAATATATTAATATAGACTACTGACAATTAGGAATTGAAGTGTCAAAAAACAAGAATGTAATATAAAAGAACTATAAATTTAAATACAAATTTAGAATATAAAATACATATCTGATTAGCCAGTTACAACACTCCCCCTTAATCAGATGTGGTCAAAAAGCAAAAAAAAAAAAGGAATTACAAAAAAATATATTTGCCAACCCTATACCTACTATGTGTTTGATAAAACATCAGCAGGCATGTCACTGCTTTTGAAATATTCTAAAAATAAAATTTTATTACACATCTTGTTTATAAAGTAAAATATTATTATTATATAATATATAACATGAAAATATTATTATAAATAACATCAGAAAAACAAAGTATTATGGAATACAAAAAATATAGCATCTAAAAAAAAACATTATATTTTTCAGATGTATAACTAACTTGTATCCTTAAACCTTTTATTCTTTTAATATATGTATATGTGACATTCAAAAGTATAAATATATGATATATGATAATAAAAAGTATAAATCTAATATCAAATTAATCGAAATCTCATATTAAAAAGTATAAATCTAATCTAGTAGAGTTTAGTGAACTTATTAGAAACAGAGACGCGATCCACAAGGGCAGACGTATCGTATAAGCGACCTCCGAAACAGGGGTACGACTGCGGGGACACGTTGTAGAAGGTAGGAAATCCACAAGAGCCGAACTACCGGTGGCTTGAATACCAACAGGGGCAGTACGACTGGGAATGACCACCCTAGGCTCCGTTGCAATATCCATACATTTGTTGAGCCAATGCTGAACATATTTAATAGAGAAACGTAAGCTACGTTCATTTTCAGCTTCAATCTCAGCTAGTTGAGCAGATAGCTCCAATTCGAGTACCTCACGTTCTCTTTGTTGTAATTGTCGTTCTCGCTCCGCTTCTTTCGCAGCTGCGGCTCGTTCCAAATCCAAGAGCTTTTTTGCATGCTTGACTTGAGCGGCTACGGAACGGCCTCTGACAGTGGAAGATGATGTTGTGGAACCTGAAATAAAAGAGCTTGCTGCGCCCGTTCTTTCGAGCGGCGCGCTAGGTTCCTCACCAACTATATCCGCGGAGGATTCCGCTCTTGGCTGACTACTCTCACCCTTCGTTTGGGAACGTGTCTTCATGTCGGAGAAAAATTTAGAATTTTAATATATTGTAATACTAAAGACGGCGAAAGAAAGGACTACAATGTTACGGAAGGACTGTATTAAGGCTAGTTAAAAATGAGACACGTTCCTAGGTGAGGTAAAATAGGTGTAATCAGCTCGCTAGCAAAAATATAAAGACAATATGGCATAAGAAAACGGTATATAAAAACAGAACGTCAAAATATAAAATTCAAATATATATAAAAAACATAAAAACTATCAAAAAGGTTGCCATCGGCAACAACACGGTAACAACAAATAACGGTATTTATATGCAGCAGGCAATCGCAACACTTTTTACGCATTATTCCTTCTGTCAACGCCTTGTCAGAATTCACGTCATATTTTAATGACTTGATTTTTTTTTAATTTAAATTTTAAATGTTAAAGTAAGAGAACTGGCGAGCAGCACCGTGTGTATATTTACACGAACCATTTGGAGCCACTTTTGACCCTCTCATAACTCAAAAACTCTTTCACATAAACCTGTCAAATTTGGTTCATATATTGAGACTTGCAAGATAAATATGTGTTCCAAATTACATAAACATATCTCATTCCAAATATCGTCATTTTTATCACTGATCAACTATAGATCAAAATTATAACCCACTTCCAGATGACCTAGGAAGTTCAAATTTGGCATGCAGATAGGTAATTAGGTGAATATAAAGTGGTGCCTTACGTAAGTTAAAGTGGTCATCCATATGATATAAGTAAGTACTACTCTTTTATCTACAAATGTAGATTCCTAAGGATCTACACTAATATCATAAAGAGGAGAGATTTGTACTTTTGTGTATTTGTATAATTGACCTCAAAAATCACTTCACCATCAGAAAGGTCCATTATTCTCGAGTATCATAGAGATTATATTTATTAGTACAAATAGTATGAGACCCGTGCTAAAACTTTAATAAAGTACCAATACCAATTCAATAATAACCCGACACCTACTTATCATGACATATACACTATAGACGTGTTTACTGCACTGTAAACGAAGTCATAAAACGATGTATGTACTTACTCGTATGTTAAATCTCAGCATTTGTTTACGATATATTTTAATACTTGGAATTGTTTAAAAATTTGCAGTTTTTATAAGTATTTGAAAGAAGTTTCAGTATTCGAAATTTGACGTCCTCGGTGGTCTAGCGGTTTAGCACACCGCTTTACTTCCGATGACTACGGGTTCGATTCGTCGCACGTTACATACATTTGTATTCACGTGTACGATTGAATGTATTAGTCTGGGTGTTGCCTAAGTATATTATGTTACACAAATATTTAAGTATTTATATCAGATGGGACTAGATGGCGCGGTATGATATGTCTAGATTTATTATTATTATTGTATGGTTTTCCAATAAAGTGTATTTACCACATTGTACGAGTATTATATACGATGAAACTTTTTATTAAAATTTGTATTTATACACTTATGCTTTGCAAAAATACATAACTATAACATACATATTGTATATATAATAACTAAGTGAGAACTAATAAAAAAATATAAATATCGTTAACGCAGGCGGGAGCACCGTTCCATCATATTAAATAACTATCTATATTAAAAACTATTTCAAGCTCATGTTTCAAATGTTATAAGAATACCATCACGGGTTGTCTATTAATGTTTTTGGTGCTCAAGTACCTATATAGGTGACAATACTGGATTAACTCGAAAATTACAAGATTTGAAAAATGCACTTTAATGTATTAACTTAAAGGCCTAATTTCAAAAATAGATAATTTTACTTAACACCTACAGGTATTTTCTCTCAGTCAACCATAGGGCAATCAGAGATTCATGTGGGCGGTGTATTTTTTTTTAGGGTTGATAATGGAATGCTGCACCCGCCTGCGCTAACGGTTTACGCTGGCGGGGCACCAGTGGAGGATGATAGGATGATCATGAGGTCAGGTCAGTTAGCCCATCGTGCAAATTCACCAGGAATTTAACACGATGGTTTCCAGGGGGAACCGCGTGGAGGTCGACCTGACATGGTACATTGCTAGCAATGGGTTTATCAATCTACATTACTAACAATCCCCTTCCCCCCTGGGCGGTGTATTATGAATGATTTATATGTAATAACATACACATACAATATATACACAAATCAACAATGAAAGTCAGGTACCT